CCGAAGAGTTAGATAATTCACAGAACGAAATCGAAGAAATTTCGAGAAACGAATAAATTTTTTAGGTGTCCCAGAATGAAAACAGTTGTAATAACCGGGTGGGATTTTGGTAAAAAAATTTTACAGCTATTATCATAATTTCTGGAACACCTACTCGAAGGTCCGAAGACAGCGATGTAGTTTCCGGAGAGTTAGATAATTTACCGGATGACCAAAAAGTTTTCGGGTAACGAGTAGAAATTATGAAAATAGTAGTATTTTATAAAATTTTTATATATAAAATTTAAAAAAAAAAGCCGGCCGGCCGGGTCTGATTTAAAATTTCACTAATTTTATTAGCAGTTAATTAATTACATATCGATATCAGATATGGGATGCAAATTTTGTCACGTGACTGTGAAAATTAGGTTTCAAATTTAACGCGACTTGAGAAAACAATAGATTTCATATCAATTTTTTTTTTAAAGATATTTTCACAACAAAATGACAACTCGTAAAGTTTTAGGCGAGTTACATATTCAAAACGTATCTGAACAGGAGCAAACTAATAAACAAAAAAACAAAAGGAATATCTCGGAAAAAGAGACCGACCGAAAGGTTAAAAAAACGAAGAATTGTGATGTACATGAACTAGAACTTGGGCAGAAAGAATTCGACGATACCTCTTGTAATCTTGGCGATATTTTGGATGAAGTAGAATATATAAATATCTTAGAGACAATCCCTAATAAGCATAATACTGAAATCAAAGCATTATCAGAACTTTATAAAAATCAATTTCCACAATGGTATGTCGAGTTAACGTCTGGATTCAACATTCTATTATATGGATATGGATCAAAAAAAGAATTACTTGAAGAGTTTTCTGAAACTTATCTTAGGGACAATCCACTTATTGTGATCAATGGATTCTATCCAGAATTAGATATTTGGGAAACTTTCATGCAAATTATCGATGGGATTAATATTAACGTTAATGTGAAGTCTGGGTCTCGCGCATCCTTGGAAAAATTAACAACATTAATCCAAGAATATTTTTTAAACCTTGACCGAGATTTTCAACTCTTATACATTGTGATTCATAACATTGATGGACAAAACCTTCGTACTTTACAGATACAGAATTGTCTTAGCATCCTCGCATCTTGTCCCAACATATATCTCATTGCTTCCGTAGATGATGTCAACGCAACTTTGCTTTTTGATCAAGATCGAACTGCCAAGTTTAATTGGGTTTGGCATGATACTTCTACATTTAAATCATATGAAACTGACAAATAGAATATATTAATATTATATCTAAAAATTTGTTTATTCAATTTAATACTTTATAGTAAATTATTGAAAAATTCTTAATTTTTCAATTGCTAAAAGCAATTCTAAATAAAATAACTTTGCCAGATGTTATTTGCATATTTATAATTAAATGAATTCTTTTCAAGTCTGAACTTATAATATTTATTTATACCGTCATATTTGTTATTTAATCTTGACATATGGGAGGGGTGTCAGTAGAAACCAAGCATCTTGTTTCTAAGTAAATTTTTTTCAGACTTTAAATTCAAATATCTTGACAACTATTAAACCAAACTTAATAATTTTTTATTTTATTTTAATTTTATTTAGTTATAGAATTAAAATAAAAAAAATTTCATCAAAATTTGGTTTAATAGTTGTCAAGATATTTTAATTTGAAGTTTTAAAAAAACTTACTAAAAACAAGATGCTTCAAATCGAGACCCCAAATTTCAGCATCACCGCGACAATTATTTAAAAAGCTATGGTTTTAAATTTTGTTCCGATCCTGAATCCGACTGATCCTTAAATTCGGATATTCAAATCAGAGATTTTTACTCGGATTGGTCAAAGAATCTGCCTGATGCGGATTCAATCCGTCGAGAAAATCTTACCTGATTATCCGGGTAATTTACTATATATCTCGAGTATCCATATAGTAACAATTTATACCCAGGTCCAATCCTTAGGCATTAGTTTTAAAATATTTGACATATATCAGATATCCTAGCTATAATTATACCAAAGTTTCAAAGAAAAAAAGTGGGGATTTGAATTTACTTATCACGTAGATTATTCAATGTAATACAAGAGTCACAAAACAAGGTAAACAAACTTTACGTGGATAGATAACTAATCCGATGCATCACATATAAGCCAATAGAAGAGAAGTATATAGCGCTCAAACTGGACAGAACATAGACAAACAGGAAAAGTTCTAGTGAATTTAAGTAAAAAGCCAAAGTCACTAGAAGCAAGAGTAGGATAAGGCTAACTAAGATGTTAGCAGACAAAAAATATAGTCAAACAGTATAGCTAAAAGAGAGATCTCTAGTGAAAGAGAAAAAAATTGCAAGCCTCAAATTAATGTTCAAAGAAGAAGAACCTCAGAAGCTTACTAGCATAATAGAAAATATAGAAGGAAGTCGAGAGAAGATAGATGTGTATGTCTCAAGAATTACAGGAATAAGCACCAAGATTATCTCAGTAACTAGAAACTAGTTTAGAATAATAAAGAAGATAATTATCGAAGAGAAGAGAGAGTTTCTGGATAGAGCAATCGAAGAGCTCAAACAAGAACTCAGAGCTGCAGAAAAGACTAAAAAGAGTATAGCAGAACTTAAAGAAAATAAGAATCTATCAGTAGAGAATAATTCACAGCCTATAGAAAAGATACAAGAAGAAGCA